TGAAAAGCCATGATGGGATGGGATAGGCTACGCCGTTATCAGTGGACTGACTGGGTAGGTTGTGTGGGGAGCGACACTTCGGATTAGGGGTTAACTAGACGGGCATGCTAAGGAAACCGGCGAGGGACACTACGTAGGTAGGCACGAGGGGGGCCGACTGTCTAGCTCGTCTAAATAACTATGATATCTGGCTTTTTGTGCCGGGATTGACGCCAAAAAAAGAGCTGATAGAGACAGGCTTGGCCAGATGTTGCCATGGTGGTGTTTCTGGAAGATTGGAGATGATCTGCTGCTTGGTCCCTTGAGCAACAGCCGCTCACTCAACTCAACAGGGGGCCCTACCTCCACAGGGACCCCTTGGAAACCTCGTACTGCGAGATAGTGCTTTCAAGGCCCCCTTACAATTTCCTGGGGTGAACAAAGGCGGGGACTCGGTCTGTTTGCCTTTTGGTTGGCACGCAAAATGAGATGCCAGGTAAGCACGGGCGACAGCAGGGTCACTAACAGGCCAGCGAGGTGGATTTCAGTAGCATTGGAGATCGAAGTGGTCGAAAAGGCCGTTCTCCGCCAGGATGGCGAAGTCGATGGAAGGGAATTGGATGCATGTACTCCTGAGGAGAGGTGGCTAGGAGCAGGCCGTGCCGAAAGGGGGGAGGCGTCCTCGATGGTGAACCAGCCAGCGATGGTTTGGTTAAGTGGTGCCTGCAGAGCTCTTGGCTGGCGTTTGCTGCGATTGTCCTGCAGCAGCATTAATGCAGGAGCGGGCAGCTTGGGATTTGCGAGCGAGCTATTTACGCAGTCGAATCATTGGAGTGGGGTGCTCTGTCTTGGAGCTGGCATACTGCGTGCAGTAGGCCGGCCTTAGCAAATCGAGATTTTGGCTTGCAAAGTACCCCTTCTCGCCCTTGTTTGAAGGGCCTAAGAGCCTGGGAGAGAGAGAGAGAGAGAGCAAGAAGAGTACCGTACCCGCAGTCGAAACGCCCAGCGCGGGACGGCGGACAGGATCATCGCTGGATGATCACGAAGATGCCATCAGGAGATGGATGATGCTTGCTGACTCTCTTAATTTCTCTCACCAGCGGACCGGAACGCCACTTCACGTCACGTCGTTTCGTGCAGAGTGGCTTTTCAGGAATGAAAAAAAAGCGTGTTCTGGACGTGACAGAAGAAGAAACGGAGCGGTAGGCAATTGGTTGTATTTCTGGAATCTAATAGACCGGCACAGATAAGACGCGGTTTTGCAAGCCACCACACGATCGGGCCCGTTCAGGGCGTCACTTTTCCCACCCAGACTACCAGACTAGAGAGCTAGTGTAGCGTAAGTAGTAGGTTTAAATAGTCCTATGTAAGTCATGCCGTAAGGCCGGCCGATTTCAAAGAAGAGAACAAGCGATACTGGGAAGGGTAAAGGAAAAGGAAAATGAATTGGACCAGGAGAATGCGGATGCCACATGCCACATGCCTGTGAGCAGTAGCAGTGTGTTCCTCGGTCAGGCAGATAGATTGTCTTACCCCAATTACCAATTGGTAAGCTGGGTGCTTCAGACAAACAAAAGAGAAGAAGAGCCGGGTCGTTTAGTAGGCAGATCCAAATTAATCTGCTTTTGCCAGCCAGCATGCATGCCCTGTACTGCGCAATCATTTGGTGTTTAGTGTTTGGTGTTTAGACTGCCCGGCGGCGAATGCAAGGTGCATGTAGGCAGGTGGTAGGGAGGTAGATACCGGTAAGTACGTGAGGTAGTAATAAAATAATTATAATCAAAACGTGTCCTTGATGGCTGTATGCGTCGTTATGCCTTCCTCAACAAGCAGTCGCGACCACGTAACAAAGCAAATAATACCGTGTGCTGTTCCTTCCTCTCTGTCGGACTCTGTGTTGTACCTCTTTGGGCAGTTCACTGCGAGGTGGGCAGCAACGGACGGACGACGAGATACCTCCAATGGTCCTTCTTTCATATGTGCGTGTGTACTGCATAGTATGAGTGTGTGAGTGTGTGGTGTGCACCACAGTAGCAAGGCCTCGCAGGGCAGGGGCGCCCCTGTCTAGCTCGGGTTGCATCAATGCCCTCAGCAGGACCAGCCAATGGCAGGAGCGATCGGGCCCTGCGCCATCAACATTGGGTCCGAAATGGGGAAGCTTTGGGGGGCTTTTTCCCGTAAGATGGATGCAAAGAATCTCGTGTACGCGGCCAAATGTAAGGCAAGACAACGCGCTAGGAAGATCAGAGTCGCGGGTAGCCAGCCAGGTAGCAGGTAGCAGGTAGCAGTACACATCAGCCCGTCCCCGACGAGTACCTCGCTCTCGCACCACCTACTCTTGCTGGCTGGCGTAGCACTTGTTAGTGGACGTTAGCGGGGCTTATACCGGTTCCTACCGGCCCTGCACCACGCACCGTAGCAGGCTTAGGTCAGTCTCCCTAGTGGTAGGACAGAGGCGTCGTCGCTGTTGGTGCTGGTGGTGTGTGCGGCGACCTGACTACTAGGTACTATGTAGAGTGCTTCTCCTGGGAGGAGGAGAGGAGGAGGTGTGCAGGGTGGACTAGCATTTTTGGCTGTTGCCCCTAAACCACCGCCATTGATGCAGAAATGCTCGCAGCGTGAGCCTCCCATACCCTTCATCCACCATCTACACTTTTCTGTTCCTTCCCTGAGAACACACACCAGGCTCGTCCTATTCCCCCCCTTCTCATCTTGCCCTCATCCTCATCATCATCGCCTCTTTGTTTCACTCTCTTGTTCTTTCTTTACGTCTCTCTGCCCCGTTCCTCTGCGTAGCACCGTATCTGGTTATCGTCTTCGTCCGGGTTTCTTCCATTGCAGTCCACGGCTCCATTCCAATCCCCCCCTTCTCCTGACGCCCCGATACGATACGACCGTTTCCCCCCAGTACATACCTCGCCTTGTCTTGGAGAGGCCATTTCACATCTCTCCGCTTCCATCCTTTCCGTCGTCGTTGTCATCGTCCTTTTTCGTGTGTCTTTGTGTGTCTCGCCCATCTCGGGGTCAACGCTTGTGCTGCCTGTCTTTTTGACAACCGACCCTTCGACTGCTTGGAAGCCGTCAGCCAAATCGACCCGAAACGACGAATACCTCCCGCTTCCGAATCCTCTACGAGCCTGGCAAACTCGAGGCTACCTCATGTCCTCGTAGAAACACATACAAGCGCCAGGTGTACGTTCTGTGGCATTTGAGAATCACCTTCAACTGTCCAGTCCTGCCCTGCTGTGAAACCGAAGACCACGTTCCTCCATCAAAGATCACGGTAATAGTGATCTGGACTGGTGAACAGCGCTCGTTTCCTTCCCCTTCTTGGCCGCAGGCGTCCTTCGATTCCCTCTCCCAACAATCGTTTCCATCTCCGTCACAACGCACTTCATCTGCATCTACTTGCATTTGGGATTTCTTGCATCTCAACTTGTTGTTCACAGTCTGGTCAGTCATCATCCATCCATATCACGTTATACGGGTGTGCCCATCACGTAGCGGCTTTCTCTTCCACAGCCAGCTTATTTAGCACTGCCTTCTGAATCACATCCATTATCAACCGTCTCTGACAATTGTCCATCACGCAGATTCTTGTCAAATTCTACATAACTGAAATTCCCTGGAGGTGCTCTGACATCGTCGACAAACTCTCTTCTCCAGTCGAATATCCCTCGAGCATCGTGGAGGAAGCTTTTGTTTAGTATCGAAAGTAACCACGCTGGATCCCACCATGGCTGCGTTGGTTCAATCATATCCACAGCAATCCGGCACCGTTACCATGCTTCAAACAAGATCTGGCTCCGGTCAGGCTCAGCCAAGCCAGCAATATGGGGGCCTGCCTCAACAAAGGAGCGGTTATCATGCAGTTCCTGGGGCACCTTTGGTCTATCGCGGCGGTTCGGCTCCTATCCAGCCATATGCTTTTACCAGCACGCCTAGCCTCAACTCCAGTGCTCAGTGGCAGCAGTTCTCTGCATATCGCACTTCATCAACCCCTGCTGTTCCCACCATGCAAAGTTTTGATGGTAGCAATGGCGGTGGACGGTCTCGCTACCCTGCCAGTGCCTCGATGAACAACTTGCCTATAATGCAATCTTCTGCCTCGCTAGCTACGAGCGGCTCTCGGGATGATTCTAGCCTTCCGGCCATGGGCAGGCGTGTCACTCCGGCACCTCGACCGCAGTCTTCGTACATGGCAAGCTCATCAAGCCAACCTTCTTTCGCACCGCCTCAAGCTACCGCGGCCAGGCCTTCACCGGAACGTTATCGAAGGCCCCAGCCTCGCAGCATTGACGTTCACCCTCAAACGTCTGCGATGCCTTCTGGTTCTGGCATGGCAACTATCAATCATTTATACAACACACCTAGAAAATTGAGCCCATCACTGCCCAACCGGCCGAGCAGCTATTACGGCAATGTGCCCGGCTCCGCGGTTGATGATATCTCCTTGCATCGCCAGCAGTCGCAGGAGGCTAAGAGAATTCGGCGGCGCAGTATGCCCGCATTGGATTCTGCCGATTATCCTAACCCCCTGACCCCACCGGACTTGAGGCAGCCGGAAGAATCATCCCGCCTGGAACAATTAACACCGCCAGAAACCACTGATAAGGAGCAAATCAAGACTGCACGAATTGTTTCCATCAGTGCTGCCGGTGCAAACGCCATGCACGCTAGAAATGGCAGTTCTGAAAGCCTTGTTTCGTCTCGCAGCAGCCATTCTCGTCCTTCTTCGGTGAGCATGCACTCAATTGTTCCCATCCCCCGATGCATTGTCCAATCGCCCGTCAATCACTACCGTTTCTACCTTCGCTAAATACTAACTTACCTTCTAGTCTGCCAACCGTAACACCAATGTGTCCACCCCCACTGGTAACCCCGCGCAGCTTTCACCTCTTGCCGACCAAAACTCTTCCAGCCAAGATTATCCCAAACTCGTGAATATTCCTCCACGAAGTTCCTCATCCGATGCCGCCAAACGGATCGCTAATCCGTCGCCGCTCTCAAAGCCGGTGACTATGGAGGGTGAGTCTGAGACACCAGGCTCGGTAGCCGCCAATGGCGACGCCACCCCGACGCCTGTCCCGCTAGCTGCTTCGTCTGTGAACTACACAGAAAGCCCCGCAGTGAAGCAGCTGGCTGCAATCAATCAGAAGGGTGGTAAACTCAAGAGCAAGACCTCGAGGCTCCGTCGGGCATTTTCTTTTGGTAGTGCCGCCGAGCTTAGAAACGCCGGGGTCACGCAGAGCAGCGATAATGTGGCTGGCCAGACACCAAGTAAACTGCACAAGGAACCTACACCCGAGGAGCTCTACGATGCAGAGCAGGCTCGTATCGCCCAACAGCAGGAGGCTGCTGGCATTGGCAACAGCATCTATGGCGCCAAGCTCTTCTCTGGATCTACCGATAACCTGTCCATCTCGTCGACGGCATCGTCTGCTTCGATTATGATTCGTAAGATGGGCCGTGGCATGAAGAAGGGTGGACGGTCACTGGTCGGGTTGTTCAGGCCCAAGTCAGTTATTGGTGTTCCGCCTGCAGATGCACCTGTGCCAGAAGTCAGCCAGGCAACCGTCTCAATGATCACCGTGGAGGCCGAACGGGAGCTTGTCAACGTTAATGCCGATCCGCACTCCCAGAATGGCGGAGGCACGGGCTTTCCTCGCCTGGAGCGGAATTCCATCGATGCATCGAAGGCACCGAGCCTGGGTTCCGAGCGGCTGGGTAGTTCGGGAACTGATAATTCAGGTGCACGGAAGAGTATTGTGGGTGGTGAGAAGGAGCGTGCAGAGGTTCTCGCTGCAGTACGCAAAGGCATCCTCAAGAATACCAGCGGGTCCTCGAGCCCGTCGGTCCGACCCGTTGACAGCCGGAACCCGACCTTTGATCTTCCTGCCGTTCCTCATATCACTGATTCCCCTCTGTCCAGTGCGCCCAGCACTCCCACCGAGGAGGCCCAGGGTCACAAACGTACGGGCTCTGTGGCTATTGGTAGTGAAGACTACTTCATGACAGCTCTGCGGCTGCGGCAGGACACCAAGAGCGCCCCGACCACGCCTCAGGGCACTGTCCGGCGCAACGCCACATTCAGCCCGCGTATTGTCTTCCACGACACCTGGCCCCCTCAGGAATACGACCGTCGCGGTGAAATTGCAACCTGCAATAGGTTGACGCCCATGCTGGCTCAGCAGATCAAGGAGGAGCTGAACACATTCAAGATGGTAATTACAGACACCTTCACGTACAAGACGAACAATTTGTTAACATGTTTTTTAGGAGATGGAAGTTCACGAAAACTCTAAGATCTACACGCATTTCTTCTGATGGCCACCCGCGACCGTTGGAGACTACGGCGTACTCGGTCTTTTCGTTTCTTAGAGGGTTGTATAGCCCGTTGTGTATTTTGACAAAATTCTCATTTCAGGCGTTTCTGGACAGCATCGTATGGTGTCAAGGCGTTCTCGCATAGTCTTGTCTGCACTACAATCTAGGCAAGCTAGCAAAAATCACTAATTTGAGAGGGCAAGTGGATCAGTTCTTCCCATCTAGCTCTGCTCTTCCTGATGGCCACGTCAACTGGCCGATGTTTGTGGATGGAGGGAGGACCGTGTGGAAGTGTGGCACGTAGAGTGTGTGGGTGACGAGCAAGAAATCAGTTCTTAGTTTAGGTACGAAGAAATGAGCATTAGCAGAGGTTGGCCTCTGTGCGGCGGCAACCATTTGTCTTTACCAGACTCAGCATGTTCATCAGAAAGCAAGAAAGAAAGAAAGGAGAGAAATGCTTCGAAGAAAAAAGTCTCTGGCACATTCAAAGAGTTCGTACAACTGTTTTGCAATAAATGGGGGGATATTGGGGCGGTCTTATCTCTTTTCCTACCATTCATTGCCTAAGTAGTCCGCAAGAACAACGAAGAGAGGGTTATTTCCCTGTTTAAAAAAAAAAAGCTAACTGAGTGATGGATTCATGACTGTTGCTATGGCTGTATGCTTTCCAAATGTATCCTTCTACACCACTACCTGATTTAGGCTTCGTCGTGCTCAAAGTGCCCTCAAAGTCAGGAACGGATTTGGGCAAAGCATTGACTTACCTAATCGCCCCTGGTTGGATACCAACGCTAGCGGGCTGTCGGTGTACCTCTACCTTCCTGTGAGACATTTCTCGTCTGTGCGTCCCCCAGATTTTAGCTCATGTTATGACGTCAAATATGGCCAATCAGCACCAAGCCGTGTCTACAGGGTCCGACTGGCGTCTTTGCTGATGATGAGGGTTAGGGTTATTAGTGCGTCTGAAATGCCTTTACAAGATAGTAGGAGAGAGTTTGGAAAGAAATTATATCTTCATACCTGGGATTCACCCCGAACTCTGGCACTTTGATGTTCTGTAAGACAATAGGTTCCGTACACCATTCTTCAGATTTGTATGGTGGGCTGTAGCCCCTGACCTGAGCCGGTGAAGTACAACGTCACTGAGTTCATTGAAGAGAGTCTAGACCACAGCTTATCAGCCCCTGTAATGCCCCACATTAAAAAAAGGATACAGCATCTCCAAAATTTTTGGGGCATGAAGCAACCTTCACATACGGTATCGAAATATTGCACGTCAGATTAGCCTGTCTGTCTGTCCTTCGACCTCTGGACTCGCGTGGTCAAAGGTCACCCTGGAAGTGCTATTACGACGCCTCGTAATCCGGCCGTGCCCGGCTCGGGGCTTCCTATTCAGACCTCTGGCCACGATGGCAGCATCCGAGATAGCAACGCCGAGTTCATCTAGCACGGTGACAATGACGGCGACAAGCAATGATGGCACCACCCAGATGAGCTCAGGCCGTCCGAAGCTTCACGGCCGGGCCTTCTACGAGAGCATCGGAAGCCCCAAGTTCATCGTTGCACCCATGGTGGACCAGTCCGAGTTTGTAAGCGCCCTCGTCCCACTGCCTTACGAAGCCCATTGACGCGGCACTGACGCACATACGCTAGGCCTGGCGGATGCTCACCAGGTCCTTCCTCCCGCCCTCTGAGCGGTCAAGCATCCTCGCCTACTCGCCAATGCTTCACGCGCGCCTCTTTGCCGAGAGCCAGAAGTACCGCGACTCTCACTTCCAGCCCACACGAGTGGGCATACCGAGCCCAGATGCGCCGCCCGCCTCCACAGCCTCCCCTCCCTCCGCGGATGCCGCCCCCTACCTCGACGGCAACCCGGCCATAGACCGGCCGCTCTTCGTCCAGTTCTGCGCCAACGACCCGACCGCGCTGCTCTCGGCGGCGCAGCTCGTGGCGCCGCACTGCGACGCCGTCGATCTCAACCTGGGCTGCCCGCAGGGGATCGCGCGCAAGGGCCACTACGGCGCCTTCCTGCAGGAGGACCAGGAGCTCATCTACAAGCTGATCCGCACGCTGCACGAGGCGCTGCCCGTGCCGGTGACGGCCAAGATCCGCATCCTCGAGACGCGCGAGGCCACGCTCGCGTACGCGCGCAACGTGCTGGCCGCCGGCGCGAGCATCCTCACCGTGCACGGCCGCCGCAGGGAGCAGAAGGGCCACATGACGGGCCTCGCGGACTGGAGCTACATCCGCTTCCTGCGCGACAGCCTCCCGCCCGAGACGGTCATCTTTGCGAATGGAAATATCCTCCAGCATGGGGACCTGGAGGCGTGTCTGGAGGCGACAGGCGCGGACGGCGTCATGAGCGCCGAGGGGAACCTCAGTGATCCGGCACTGTTTGCGCCTGCGCCGGCGGTTGGAGAGGAGGGCAGGGAGTACTGGCGTGGGAGGGATGGGAGGGGAGGTTGGCGGGTTGATGCCGTGTTCCGGCGGTATCTAGATATCATGCACAAGTACGTGCTGGACCAGGAGCCACCTGCTCGACGGCCGCTCTTCATGCCAGGCGATAGCACAGACTGGCTGCAAGCACGCGCAGAACCCGAGGGGGAGGAGGAGGGTCCGGCGCGCAAGAAACGTAGGAAGGAGAGTGGGAAGAACGCCAGCGGGTCGCTGTCTCCTAACATCGGCCCTATGCAGCCGCACCTATTCCATATGCTTCGGCACTTCGTCTCCAAGCACACTGATGTCAGGGATGCTTTGGCAAGAGCGAGGTCAGGCGATGTCAACAAGTACGAGAAGCTGCTGGACATGGTGGAACGCAAGGTCGCTGAAGGACTCATTGAGTATGAGCGGACCGATGGCAAGAGCGTCGAAGAAACAGAGGCTGCAGATGGCGCAAAGAACGGTGAAGCGCCTGTTGGAAGCGACGAGGTCGAGAATGACACTGAGAGCTCTGTACAGACTGTCAAGAAGTGCAAAAGACCTTGGTGGGTGATCCAGCCCATTGTCCGGCCACTGCCGAAGGAGGCCATGGCAAAGGGGGCCATACAGATAAAGAAAAAGGACAGGGAAAAACTTGAGGCAGAGACGCAACAGAAACCTGAAACGACGTCATCACAACAGTCAGAAACTACCGCAGACCTAGAGCGAAAGACAAGCTTCCCAGCAAGCGAGCTCGTGTCCGGCTAGGTCGACGTATCAATCCTGTACTGTTACGATCCTCCATGATCTGGAAGCCTAGGGAGCATAGCGCCTTGCATATATTATACTAATCATAAATACACAAAGCCATAAGATGGTATACAGCCAAGTAGTCCGTGTGGTTCCTCACAAGGAGGCCCCTCTACAATATCATTTCGTCGCAATGGCAATGGTGGCATCCATCACCATGACCAGAGCCCCATCTGCATTTCTCGACACGCCAGGCTGCTTCTCCAGCTCTTCCGCACCCATTTTGATCGCCTCATCCCAGTGAACCTCGTCCTCGGGGATCCAGCCGCCCTCCGGCGTGCCGACGTAGCTCCAGGCCAGCTGGATCCAGTGCTTCACGTCCGGAACCACCATGCTAGCCTTGGTCTCGTGCACGACAATCTTGTCTCGCTCGAAGCCGCCCGACAGCAGGCCGTCGAGGAGGGTGTCGGTCGTGTATTTGTGATTTAGGAAGGGCGGCAATGGGGCGTCGGCGCCGCGGATGGCGTGGTGTGTGCGGCAGAGGGCGTCGATGTGAGGCAGGTAGGTAGGCGTTGTGGCGATGCAGATGCCGCCAGGCTGTAAGGTGCGATATGCTGTATGACGTTAGTTGGATTTTGGGTATGATCGTATTGACACAAAGAAAATGACAACTTGGTGAACCTAGAGTTACCATCAAGAACGTTACTTGAGGGCTACCAAAGTCCCGACATAAATCTCGTTTAAAACCGTGAAAACTCACTTTCGGCCGCGCCCCCGGCCTTGAGCAGGGGGCACGAAAACGTGAAGAATGTATGTGTGAACTTGTTATCCGGGAAGTCCAGCTTCTTCACATCCATTACCGCCGCCGTGACGGGCCACCCCTTCTCCTTCGCCATGGCCGCCACGCCGTCCACAAAGACCGGGTTGAGGTCCGTAGCGTGTATGGTGATGGTTAGCGGGTGCTGCTCCATCACCACCGCAGTGGCCGGCGCGGCTCCGCACGCATTGTCGTGGATCACGGCATCGGGCTCGATCGTCTTGGGCAGCAGACACAGAGACTCGGCGGTCACCTCCTCGCTCGTGCCGCCCACCAGCTCCGCCATGTGCGAGGCCTGGTACTGCGTGATCTGCTTTGGGCGGAATGTCGACATCTTGTAATCAGGTTGCGAAGCTTACTGTCCTACCTGACCTGGATAGCTCTCTAGCTCTCTCTGCATAGGATGACCTGGAAAGCTCATCTTGTAGCACTGCTCTTCACTTATATCACACAGGATACGGTGCCACTTGGCATGGATCCCGGCCTGTGGATGCGGGCGAAGCATAAGGAAGCCAGGTGGCTAGCTAGGTACTTGATGGGATTTCCTCACGTCAGCGAAACGTATCGATCCTTCTTGGAGTCCGAAGGCATATCGCAAGCCTTTCTTGGAACTTGCCCCTTGTCAGCCTTCTCTTAAACGGGCATGGTGCTTGATCCTTCGTCCAACGTCTCGGCGACTTTGTAGCTCTGTGGCTTGCTGGGAATGTGTCCGCGCATGAGATATGTATCCGGCATTAGCGTTAATCGCATAAGACCACGATTGCCCCTATTCTAGTTAGATAGTTATATCACCGTAGAAGTAATTATCACAAGGAGTCGATGACTTGAAATAAACAAGGTCGAAAGGATCTCAACCGTCCTGTGCTATTGCTAAACCATTCTACTGTCATACAAGGTACAATCTAAGTACATGCTCTGTCCTATCACTCGTGCATGGCTGAGCGAGCGCATTCCTCCCTGTCATAAACCCTTACTCGCTTCTTCGGAAGCGCTTTCTTGGTCCGCTGCCGACAGAAGAAGAGCTATTGCGCCTCCTTCGCTCCCCTCTTGGGGGAGAGGCGCTCCTCTCGGACGAGCTATTCCTCCGAAGCCTGCGCGGTGGCGGCGACCTTGAGCGAGTTGGAGACCGCGTAGGACTCCTGTCGCGGCTGTAAGATCGTGCTCTGTAGTCACTACGCCTAGGAGGCGGCGAGCGAGATCGGGAAATAGGCCGAGCTGCGGGTGCGCGTCTCGGCGGCGGTGACCGGGAGAGCGATCGGCTCGGGGCTCGCCTGGGAGGAGGAGAACGAGAAGCTGCCCGGACGGGTGCTCGTCTCGACGGAGGAGACCGGCTCAGGGACCTTGGAGCCGCTCTCCTGGGGGGAGGTGATGCTGATCTATCTGTAGAGTATGATCGAGTCGAGCGACTGTACGATCTATTCCTGGCATAGCGTCTTGGTGGCGTGTGTGAGACCGGTCGGCCACGATCCGCATCCCGACGTGGGGCAGGTGATCGCGAACGACTGGACGAGTATGATCTGGTCGATCGGCTATACGACCGAGCACGGCCGTGTCGCGGTGGTGTCCGCGAGGCCGATCGTCCACGGTCAATGGCTCGTCTAGGTGGTGTTCGGGACCGTGTCCTAGAGCGAGACGAGTATGATGACCCTGTGTAAGAAGAATAGCTCGACACAGACTCCGAGTCTGACTCGTCTGCAACAACTGGCGCAGGGAGGGCAGGTTTCGGCATATTCTGCAAAAATTCTCTCATTTCTTCCGTGAGAGCACCCATACCAATACTCGTAAAGTAGTTGATGGAGAAACGCACGTTGCGTGGATTGTCGCGGGGGAAGATACCGTCAAAGCTTGATCGAAGAATGTCATCCTTCATGCGTGCTTGGAGCTTGGGCATGCCGATCTCCTCGGTGATCTCTTGGAACATGATCTTGATGTAGATTCTAGAGGCCGATGTCGTCTCCTCTTCGTTGAGATGGATGACAGACAAGACGTGCCAGCCAATCGCATCAGAAGCTAGCATGTGTCCCATGAACCGTGCGATATTTCGCAGCTTGTTCGTCTCGTATCGATGAATTTTCTCGTAATAGTTCTGGAACTCTCTCTCAAAGAGATCCATCCACAGTCTGTTAATCTTGGCAAGCCTCTCTCCCTGTGCACCCATGAACGATGTGTAAGAGCGTTCTTGAGCACAGCACTCGATGATCATTTCCGGTAGCTCGTGCTCCAGGCCAGCAGGTATGTTCAGTCTCAGCAGCTTGTGCACTGATTCTTCAGGATCCATGCTAGACATGATCGTAAGATAAATCGTTCTTCGTAAGGCGACAAGGTCAGCATTGGACTGATCCTTGATCTCGATAGCCTTAGTCTCCTCATCCTCGCTCTCAGAGCTCTCGGCATCACTATCATCCTCATCCTCATCATCGCTACCCTCACCCAAAATCTCTGCCTTGAGCGCCTTGTAAGATGCCTCATTTGCTTCATAGTCGGAATCAAATCGAAAGACGTTTAGCGACTCCTGTCCTTCTACTTCGCCATCTAAATCGACAGAGTGTGTGATCTGATCCTCCTCTTCAACCAAATCCAACTCCTCTTTGACAGCCGGGTTATCCTTGAAGCCGTCTTTCCGAATCTGGAAAAGCACTTCCACCATATACTGGACTCGCTTGTCAAGGTCGCCATCATGGAGAATATGTCTGAACTGATCAAAGATGGCCCTGCTCATGGTCGACTCCATCTCTTCTAGGAACGAGCCCACCTCCTTCATCAAGCCCACGGCAATTTCGACACTATCGTCGGTCGGCTTGTTCAAAAGCAACAAGAGCATCTGCGCGATCAACATTGGGCTGACGACCTGCTGGTTGGTGAGCTGGGCGAGGAACGTCGTCGTCGAGAGGCACACAGCCTTGTCATTGCGCTTGAACGCCTTCCTGAACCGCAAGACCAGACGCTTGACGAGCAGCTCGCCGACGTTGGGCAGCTTGGTGTTGACGATGGCGACGACGGCGGCATAGATGGGGGTGAAGGGCAAGCTGGCGGCCTGGGCCTTCATGATGCTCTGGCAGAAGAGGCCGCGGCCGCGCACCAGGTTCTCGCCGAACAGCTCGGGCACGATGAGCTTGATGTTGGGCACGTTGACCTTGTTGATCAGGCCGTTGATGGACTTCTTGAGCGCCTCCCACGCCATGCGCTGGTACTCCTTGCTCGACGTGTCGGTGATCTGCGCCTGCAGCGCCCGCAGCCGCGCGGGCGGTATGTACGTCCCGCCCGACCGCATGTTCAGCAGCTTCTCGTACTCGGCCTTGGCCGCCGCCTGCTTCTGTTCCTCGGTCGGCTTGGGCGGCGGCGTGCGCTCCCTGCGAGCCGGGCGGTAGCTGTCGCCACCACCTCTACCTCCTCCATCTTGTCGCTGCGGCGGAGGGGATCTTCGTCGAGGAGGACGGTCGTCGGCTGGAGTGGGATCGGAGAGAGGGCGACTGCCCACGGAGAGGGTGTCGGCAGACGCCATGGCGTCGGCTGATGATGAGAAAAGCGTGACGCTGTGCGTGGATGTTGAGTGTCACGATGGGTGGAGGTAATGGGTTGGTGTTGCGGCGCGCCACAGGTAACCTTTTCACTCTTTTTTTTCCCAAGGCAACGAGGCTGGGACAGCCGCATAGGAAAAGTGGAGACTGCGGCGCTCGTGAAGCACAGACCATCTGCAGCAGTACGAGCAGCTAATAGGTACAAAAGACAGGGGATCGTCCCGCTGGCGAACACGCTATCCTAACGCGCCTGAACCCCCTGACCGTCAGTGACCCCCGACTGGGAGCTTTCCACTTTGCGCTGCTGAAGGTGGACGTGGCTCGAACTTTTAGACACCACCTCGCTCTTAACCGCAACACGGCGACGAGGACCAACAGCCAGACAGACACCGAAGGCATATATACGGCGACGAATCTTCTTCATCACGCTCCTTCGCCCTAAAATATAGCATTTTGGTCAACAATGGTACTCAGCCCTGCGCTCAATGGGATAAAGAATGCCCCCTAAGCTAACAACTCGGTGCAACACCACAGCTCGACAAACTCGTAGGCATCGCCATGTTGGTGGCCGCCTCCGTCGTCTTCCTCTACTACACCATCTGGACCCTGGCGATGGTACGGGGTGTCCCTCTCCTTCCCCTCCTTCTCCTTCCTCAAAACACCTGATCACCTCCAGTGAACATATGTCGGCTAACATGTATCCTCTTTTCCCCTCTACACAGCCCTTCGTCGACTCGGACCACCCCCTCCAGAACTTCTTCCCCCCGCGCGTCTGGGCCATCCGCATACCCGTCATCCTCATCCTGCTGGGCTCCGCCGTCGTCGGCTCCTTCCTCAGCGTCGTCATGATCCGCAGCAACAGGAAGAAGGCGGCCAAGGCCAAGGCCGCGGCCAAGAAGAAGGCGTAAGGAAGTCGTAAAAAGGAGAAGGAAGGATGGCAGCGCGAGTGCGGATGAGCGGGAAGCTCAGGACAGGAAAGCACTGAAAAGGGGAAAATCGCATCATCAAGGGGCGCCTAATGAGTCGAGCTGCATTGGATTTCTTGGTGACACTTCTGTGTCCCCCAGGGAAGGGGGCCTGGAAACGTTCGCCGAATGGCTTCGAATGCATAGTCAATGGTTGTGAAAATGCTGGGGAATGCTTCTACTCCTCTAACTCCTTCTCACTAGCTGTATAGCGATGGCCATGCATTTACAGGGCTCCGGCCTCACAAAATAATCAGAAAAACGTATTAAGTACCATCTAAGGAGGCGCGAGTCCTCTGGTTGCATTTGAATATGTAGAGTGCTACGAGTGTGTGTGTGCAATGTGTCCAATACCATGTCCGGCCAAGCCAGCGAATGCCGCAAACAAGAGCAGAGTGAGGAGTCGTTACCAAAGGCCCAAATCCCATGAGTTATTGCAGAAGCGTCAATGCTAAACAAGTACGACCACCAAAATATGCAACCCTGTCCGCAATGGCACCAACGACGCTAAACCCTGCTTCTCGCCATGCTAGCAACGAATCTCCTCGAGGCTCCAACGGATTCCTCAGAAGTGAACGAATGTGACCCATCCCATGACACTTCTCACACTCTCTGGTCGGCAAAGTCCAACACCTCGCAGTCATCCTCAAAGAACCCATCGTCGTCCGTATCGGCGGCACGTCCAGCCCCTCGTCGTCGCCGAGTTGTGACCACGATCTGCTCCTCGTTCTCGCCAAAACGCTGCAGCACACGTTCACGCTCAATAGCGGACGGAGGCAAAGCCCGAGTGTCGTCAGTCGACATGTTGAAAGACTCCTCTTCGGTAATCTGATAATGGCCGAGATCGAGCCGAGTAGCCTCGATCGGCTGGCCAAATACCCAGACAGACGTGTCCTTTACAGGTGCTTGTGCTGGCGAGAATGACGGAGATGCCTTCCGCTTAGATTTGGACGGCTTGGGTTTCTCAAGCTGGAGTGAGTCTCCAAGCATTTCAGAGACAAGAGCGACTTGTTGAGCCGTTGACGGCTGCTCCGGTGCGTACTCGTAAATCGCCACACGCTTGTCTGTGTGGAACGGCTGGTACGGAGCAGAAGACTCTATCTCCGCCTGCGGAATCGAAGATTGAGCGCTTGCATCGTCCTGCGGCGGCCTGGGTCGGGCGTCTAACACCATGGTGTTATTGCCCGCATCCTCCCTGTCCATCAAGTCCAGATATTCTTCAGGGTCAATGATGCGCTTGACCGCTGGAGCAATCGTGTCCTCAGGTAGACCAGGAAGCTTGAAGTCCTTGTAGCGACTTAGACGAGGCGTCCTCGGACCATTTGAGCCAGATGGCGACTTGCGAGCTCTGGTAGGGAAAGTCCTCACGAGCCCGTCTCCAAGGACAAAGAGCGATGGATATCGACGTCCGCTAATCCAAATCACACATGAAGGCCCCGGGGAAAGGGTGCTGGACGGTAGCGAGACTCTATTATCTCCCGTATGACGGAGCTGGTTGATGGCACTGCCCGTCTTGCCAAGAGAATGACTGATGCCGCCAAGGATCACCTTCCCACCATGGCTGGCGTGCTCGACGAACCTAGAACTCGTGGTTTGGGGAACATTTGAGCTGCTGCGGCGGGGGCGGTTCATCAAGGGACGAGCAACATCACGGGCAGTGTTCAATGCACTAGAAGCGATGGATGCCGCGGAAGTGCCACCTTCTGCGGAGCCGGGTGTGTCTTGCGAGCGAGTCCTCCTACGTGGCGGCGGCCAAGTGAAAGCACTGGACGGCATTTCCAAAAGATGAACCGTGCCTCTCTCCGTGACCATTGCTGCACGTTCCCCGTTGGGTCTCGTCCAAGCAATGTCCACAATGCGAGCAACTGTCATGCGAGAGAACTGCGCCACCTGTCGTACTCGGGGGCCGCTCGGGATAGCAGGTACGGTCAGGGTCTGCAGAGGAGAAGCTTTGGTGTGCTGAATGCGCATCAAGTCCCACACGGTTTGAACATCACCCTTGGTACTTGCGGCGAAGAGCATCAAACCGTTCGGTGTGAAAGACAAGAAGCTACAACCAAGGGTTGCAGGAAATGTTGTGATTGGATGGACAGATGCCGAGTGAGGGAGAGTCTCGATATCCACGATAGCGACGAGACCAGGCTCTTTCGAGACCGCCGGAGTCATAGTGCCATGCGTGGGCGGGAATTGAGACACATCTTGCCGTGCTGGGTATGCGCCAGTCCAAGGCTGAGCTCCCAATGGGGGAGATCGCGTCGGCTGCGGTTGCTGGGAAGACCCCTTCCAATAGTTGTTGAATGCTTGCCAGCCTTGCTGTCCTACCCACTTGGCCCCCGATATCAATTCTTGCGTTGCATCACGCATGAACTTATTCATAACGCTCTCAGCGCCTGGCACCTCAATGTCCGAAGTCACTCCAGGCAGTTGGGGAGGTGTAAGGCTGGCCGTTCCAGGTGCCTTGCCCAGAGCGTTGCTAGGTATCCGCGCCCTTAGTGATATCTGAGATGAGGGAGCCGCCGGGCAATATGCTAGCCATCTGCCATTCAGGGCGATGATCGGATTGCGAGAAGTGTGCCGTGTTATTGGAACTCGAGAACGCTCAGCCTCCTGCAAGTCTGCCTTTGGTGGCTGTTGAATGGTCGTCCAGACTTTGCCCGTGCATCGGAACTCCACGCCCGGCTCGTGTGGAATCGATAGCTGCCGATAAATCCAGCATTCACCAGTTGAACCAGATGTGACGACGACGGTTCCAGCATCGGCGATTATTCGAAGAGCGCCAGCGGGCGGTGGTGCCTGAAAAATGGGACTTGTGATGGCCATCTGAAGCGGGATCTGGGGAGCCTCCAGCAAAGTAGCAACATGACGGCTATCTTTCAGAGAGTATACCTCGACTGATGTCAGGTAATGCTCAACCGATGCCTGCGCCCTAATCGCCACATGTTCTCTTTGAGCCGCTTCTGCGTTCGCAGGAGACACAGCTCCAGATCGTTCGCCCGACACAAGGTCTTGGCCTTCAACCATGATATCCGGAGCTCTTGAAGGCATGGCAGGACCATGGATGATAACTGCGACGAGAGGTGATAGATCCGCCCCATGTCCGGTAGGAATCCATGGTAGTATCTTGGCTTGGATAACGCCACCACGTAACCCTTTCAGGTTCGCGATGTGTTCCAGTCCTCTCTTGCTAACAGAGTGTACCTCCAGACCGCCTTCATAGCCCGCAAGTACAACATTATCCTTCCTGTCCTTACGAGGTATGCAGTCTGCATTTGGCGTCGGGATGGTGTCGAACGCAAATGCATAGCCTTTCTCTCCTGCCTTCATGCCCTTGTGTGCTTGGAAATCTAGGTCGAGATCCGGGGTGCCGTAGAAATGCGCCTGAGGTTGGTGCGGCAATGGCGGATTCGGGATGTTCGCCCGCGCGAAACCAGAAAGAGAATGCGCGTACATTGAGCTACGACGATTCGAGGGCGATACCGAAGGCGGGGCTGCCTCTGAGGGAGGGTAATGATCCATCTGGAAGCTCAGTGGCCGTCTCAGGCCGCTGTTTGTTGGTGGAGAAGCAGAAACAGGTTGAGCATGAGCATAAGGTCGTGGTGACGACCATCCATAGGGTAGCCCTCTCGAATCTTCATAGGAGGAAGGCTGAGTCGGGGGTGACTCTCCCATCAAGCTTATAAGGTTGCCAGGAGAGCCTGCCAGGCCGGGCGCCATCCTCCCCCACTCGTGGGTGCTTGGTGTTGTTGACGTAGCAAAAGAGGTTGTCGACACGGCATCCAAGAGTGGTGACACGGCTGGGTTCCCATTGGAAGGGTAGCTGGAGGGTTTGAGTTCGGGTGACTGAACTGAAGGAGAGGAGGTCTCGGTCTCAGAAGCTGAGCCCTTGTTGGCATTGTTGTTGTTGTTGTTGTTATTACTACTGGCATTGTTAGATCAGGGATGGAAAGCCAGAGATAGGTATCTCCAAGCAGTCATGCACGAAAAGCAACATGGCTTCAGCACGGGGAGGGACACTTGACATACGCAAACTTGCCAGCAGTGTGCTTTGTCACCGCAGCGACAACTCCACCGTTATCTTTACCATTCTTCTTGTCCTTCTTTGCGCCTTTCATGACAATGCAGGTCAGCCTGAGCTCCAATATGAGGACAGACCCTAGTGTCTATCCTAGACTAGGTGTCTGAGTCTTCAGACGCGCGGGAGGGGAGACCAACCGGGCATCCAGGCGGCTTGGTGCCAGTCGCGAGCAGTTGCCTGCCCGTTTGATTGGGATTGAGCTCCGGCCGCACTCAGCCGGGAGCTCTATTGTTCCTAGCTAGCGTTTCTTGAAGGAGGATATATCGGCAAGCACGGAGCACGCGTTTGATCGTTTGTGAGGGCAGATTTGAGAGAGTTGTTATGACGATTAGATTGGGGATTGTATCGATCAACAAGGGGACGTTAGCCAGGAATGGCGCGCGGCAGCCGAGGTGGTGGCTGAAGAGAGGTGCGATAACAGGGAAACAAAGGAGTGGAATCTAGACTTGGGAGGGTTCCCAGCCAGGCAAGACGAGATCTGAGACGAAACTAATATGCAGAGGTATCTTATCTTGTAAGTAAGAGAATAGAGTCAACAGAAGAGAAGTATCGAGTCTTTGTGAGTAGATGTCCGTCCTCAACTACCACGACGGCGGCGACGAGTCAGTGAGTAACGACGGTGAGGGACGATAGACGTAGACGCGGGGAGGGAGGGGGAGGAGGGGTGGTAGGTAGGGACCGTAGGGTAGGTTTGGTTGGTGACTCGAGCCACTAGCCTACTATGCAGTACTACTACCTCTCAGCGCTCACACGCAAGCAGCAGGGCAGGTACGCTAGCTAGGCTTGGAGAGCTAAGAGACGGCAGGAGCGACTGATGAGGGGACCCAACTGACTGACTGCGACACCAAAGGCGGGGGTCCTGGCTGTTGGCTGCTGGGCGCACTGGCAGTGGTTCCTGGGAGCCCGTGGGAGGACCGGCGGGGGGTTCGTGCATTAGAGCGCATTTACAGCAGCATGCCTGTAGGTACCTACCTACCTAGGTATGTTCTAATGTACGGTGTAGGTACAGACCTACCTGGGTAGGTACCTTACCTTGCCTTACCTCGCAGTGGTACCGGTAGTGGAGAGGGGCCAAGTTTGGGAAGTCATTGATTGCAAGGGTCCCACGCTGCCTTGTTGCACAGCTGAACAATGGCAGATGACGATATCACCGATCAAGCAGACGGCCATATGAAGAGAGACGTGGTCTTCTCAGGTTCAGCTGCCTACCGGAGCATCAGCTGAAGTGAGTCTCCTTCACCAAACATGCCTCAAACGGCATGTACAAGTGCAATACGGGTTCTGGAGAGTTGTCCAGAGAACCTCGTGGAAGAGTGACAAGTCAAGCGTGTCAGGAGGAGACATGGAGGGTGTCAGATCAAGGTCAGGCAGGGGCACCTCGCTATGTAAGGACTGCACATGGCTGTTTGTTACCGTACCGGTAGGGAGCCGAGACGCTGGGGCAGTGGAAGTTGCTGCTGTCTCTCGCAGCTCGCATCCCTCCGTCGTCATCATCTCTTGTTATGGCCCCCCAGACGGCTCATGGCTCATGTTCCAAGCTGTCCCCGAGATCAATCAAGGTCAGGGCCTGGCGTGGCTTGGACAGGGCTCAGAGCTGACCTCACCCACCGACCCGAACCTTGCTTTCAGATCCCCTGTTCTCGATACGATGAGTAGGTGACTCTTCAAAGAGCCTTCAAGGACTCTGGCAGTTTTCAAGTTGTGCGCAAAGTGAAGGCGTACAATATACAACGATCATCACCCAGGCAGGCCGGCGATTACCTGTCTTTTCACTTTGCCTGCTTGCCGAATGACACAGAGCGGGAGACACCAACCTCCAGAACCAGCACCCGTCTTTCCGGCGGTTCCATTGGTGACAGACTCCCATTTAGGCGTCTAGGTCGGCTGCAAGTGGCTCTTTTCGAAGATAGGCCTTCAGGCCATTGGTGCTTGCCTCCCTTTTGTTTTCCTACTGGCCGGCCTGATGCGTCGGGACATTTTGGAGTGTGTAGGTACCTGCGGGCATGTAGACCGTAGATGATTAGCGGGCGGGCACGGGTCAGCTGATGAGCACCACTGACGTCTGTTGCCTACCGACAAAGATGCACGGGGACAGAATCATGAGGGCGGCGCCCATCAGACCCAGAGAGCGACCGAGAGAGGCGCTCAATTGCCAATGGTCTGAAGAGCATCTGAACTATGAGCGAATGGCGAACTGACTGACTCCTGCTTTTACCTCTGGATGTACACCCTGTAATGCGCAAACTTCCACTCCCTGTCTGCCCGCCTCAGCCTCGCATGGCCAGCCCAGTCCGCAGAGGCCTTCTCGCCCGTCTTGAGCTCGTAGTCCACCGTCCCATACAGCATGAACTCTGTCGTTTCTCCTTCCTTCCCTTCAAAGGAGCCCACGAAGGCCTGCTTGATGGTGTGCTTCCTATCGTGGACCTTCTCCCACATGCCCTCGCGCAGCTTATAGATCTCTGCACCCGGGAGGAAACCGACACGTTAGCAAGGTTGCACGCTCCATCAACTTGTAAAAATAAAATAAAAAACACGCTCCAGCACTCACCGTCCGTGCCCTTGGCAGACTCAGTCCCGATGGTCACCGTAGCATCCTCCGTAAAGCACGCGGTCCACGAGTCAATCGCCCCGCGCGTGTCCGAGATGTTGTAGAAGTTGAAGATGAACGCCTTGATGCTGTCGTCCACCTCCACGTTGGTGGGGAAGGCGGGGAGATACCTGTGCATGATTGCGAACTGCCCGTAGGATCTGAATAGTGTGTAAGTGTTTGATATGCTGTGTCTTTTTGTGATCTCTTGTTCAGCTTGAGAAATCAGACACCAGCCGCTGCCGGCCCGCCAACAAGCGGGAAAAGGACGATCGTCCCGGACCGAGGCTCCGACCCCGCCGGCGCTGGGCTTCCGATACTCCCTCTCCGACTCTCCGGGCTATGAGGGCGGCAGTTTGGTAGGAGCTGACATTCAGACGCAAGACAACAAATGCATTTGCCACAGAATCAATTCGTACAATACAGATATGATTCATTTTAGGATCACGCCTAGCCACTCAGCCAGCTGTCTTCTCACCAAGTGCCAAAAGGTTAATCAGCCTCCGAAGCCCATTCCAAAACGATGGCACAGAGTGGCCCCGAACAAAATCCTCTTAAGCAACCGGGTATCTACTTGAACAAAGCCACCGTTGGCAATTACTCCTCTCGCAATAAACACCATCCAATCGTCTCACATCTTGATACCTCGCGCACTGATCTCCCCCTTCTCTCCAATATTGAGCAGCACCCTGCAGTCCGGACAGAACCACTTCGTAGTCCGCGCCGGGATATCCGATAGCCCAACGCACTCCAGATGGAACCATTCCTGCTTGCAATTCTGGCGATGAATTAGCTCGTTGTCAAGAGTCATAGACACATAGAAATACTCACATCGACATTGTCACACTGAATCATGGTGCCAAAGCTGACCCTGTTGCAGATGCAATAACGTGGCTCATCGGCATCGATGACATTACCATCGTCGTCGACTTCCACCTCGACCTCAACCTCCACCGCCTGGCCCTGACCCTTGTCGCGCTTGGTCGCCCCGCGCTTCTTCTTAGGCGCCGCCTTGCGTCGGCCCACGGCACTGTTGCCCCCCGAGTTGGTCCTACTAATGACGCCGGGCGCGGGTCTCTTAGTCCGCTTGCTGGGCTGTCGCGGCTCCGGGGCGGGCGTGTTCCGTGCGGTACTAGCGCGACGGGGACGGTCCACCGCGAGGGAAGGCTGCGGTTCTTGGCTCATAGCCTTGCCGCGCGAGGCCGGCCGGCGTGACTCTGGTGCTGGTGTTGTGGCGGCCGGTGTGGCGGCACGAGAAGTGGACTGCTTGACAGTAAGCTGACCGTTACTGTTCTCCTTAGGCTGCTCTTTCTTGGCATCCCTCTGTCTCGTCTCTCTGACCGGGGGAAGAATAGGAGTAGTAGACTTCTTTGGGGACAGGGGCGGCGCCGGAAGACCGCCGTCAGCGGGCGGTTTAATAGGAACGGTAGTTGTGACCGTGTTGGCCGAAGAAGCGCTTGCATTGGTTGGAGACGATGAAGGTTTGGATACAGCGACAATCGACTGATCGTGGCCCCCCGGAATGGGGACAGGGACAGGTGTTGTAGAGTGTGGAACAGCCGTAGTGCTCCCTGGAGTAAGTTGTGGATGTGGAACCGGTGTTTCGTGGAGGTGATGTGAAGATGGTCCGGGCGTATACTGGGGTATTGGTACAGGAGTTTCAGTCTTCATGCGTTTGAGCTGAGGTCGCTGTGCAGAGCCTTCGGCCAGTTCAGGCTTTTCAGCCTCGGTCTCAGCAACTGAGTCTCGCTTTCGCTTCTTTTGCTTCGACTTGCTGCTCGCGCTGGCCCTGGTAGCAACTTGCGGTTGAGAAGGCGTCGTAGCCGATCCCTGTTGCTTGAAGAATAGATTCTTAGCCAAGTCTGCCATTTTCCTAGCTGACTCCTCGGCTTCCTCTGCAGCAAGCTTGGCAAGCTGCTCCCTCTTGAGCTTCTTGGCCCTATTCAGCTCCATACCACGATTGAGTAACTGGGCATCCTCTGCTGCGATTGCCGCATCAACACTGACTGCGCCCTCAGGAGGATGCTCTGTGCCAGAGGCACCATCTCCAGCGGGGAGATTGTGTTCAAAAGGTCGACCCTCCTCCTCAGCCTTCTTCTTTGCCGCATTGTATGCATCCCACCCTCGCCCAAGGTTCTTTAGCTCCCTAGCTATCATGGTTTCACTGGGCGTCCACGCGGAGTTCTTCTTCATTCGCTTCCTTAGCTTTGCAAGCTCCCACAGCGTCAGCTGCATCCAAGGCGCATCTTCACTACCAGGAAGTGCATTTTCGGGAGGAGGTTTCAGCGCCGAAAGCGCTGCGCTCGTGGATAGGGGCGTCGGGAAACCCGGGCCCTTCGGGAGCTTCTGCTTCGGCGTCTTTGGATTTTTGACTAATTTGATGCGCTGCTGTTGTCCAACACGAGGTGCAGGCGTCCGCCTAGACAAGTCATCGTCATCTTCCTCCTCCTCTTCGCTGCTCTCACTGTCGTCGCTGTACGTCTCATATCCGACCTCATAAGGCGCCAAGACTTCACCAGGAACCGTAATTCGTGGTACTCTAGGCCGACGTGCCTTTTCACCTCCACCGCTGCCCCCGCCACCGCCCCCGCCAGGAAGGCGGAGGGTGATCTTGGTGCCTCGGGAGAGCTGAGAAGACTTTGTATTCGCCATTGGGCTCTTCTGTTCCTCCGCGGTGGGATAGTTCTCCAGCATAGTCTGCAGCTTTGCGTGAATCGTTTTGAGGCGCTTATAATGCCGGCCGACATTCTCCGCCATCCGCACTGCTTCAGCGTGAGAATAGACGCGAGAACTGACCGCAAAGTTCAGGTTCTCCGAGATCTCAGCCCTCAGCTGAGCAGGCGCGGGTCGCTCGTCCGGCTGCATGTTTGGTAGTTGGCCCCACGCGGTCGTGAGGTTGTGTACCTTCGTAGATGCGTGGACATAAGTCTGATCGAGCTTGCCGACCAAGGTCAGAGAGCGCATCATGTCGGAGGGCAGGTACTCGGTGAAATCGAGGAAGTCGGTCACGGTCGCCTGCGCATCGGGGTCGGCGCGCAAGTCCAGCGAGTCGATTCCATTGTTCATAGATCCCAAAGAATCAATCGCTTGTTCCATATTAGATGACTTCTGACGAGGAGAAAGCTCCTCGTCAACGTCAGCCGCTGCTGCAACAGTTGCCATCTTGCCACTCGGATATTCCTCGTTTGAGCTCTCAGATGCGTGTCATCTGTCGATATAAAGTAGACCCTATACGAGTCAAATGTTTGCGACGTAAATTTCGGCGTCCAAACGGCCGCTGCGGGCGGACACTTGCAGATATAAGGCGGCAGATGATATCGCGTCGTCCTTGAAGTTAGAGATGGCGTCGCGTCGTTGCTCGGCGAAATGTTACGTTCAACGCAGCTCTTGTGGGGCTCCGTACCAGGTGGGCCGTGTACCTGCCTAGTGCATATGGCACGGCGCTAGACCCAAAAGGAGTCTAGAAGCAGACAACCAACCCCCTGATTGCTGCAAGAGGTCGATTTTATTATGGCGCATACACCACTTACTTCGTGTAGACTGCTTGAGCCAGAGTCAATGTGTTAGTTAGTCCAGAACTGCACAAATTATGCATTGTATTACTGTCTGGAATGGGTTGTTGGCTGACACAGGCCAGCCATTTCAGCGGGCTCTAAATGCTCCAAAGTAGACAGACCCGTCCATCAGATGTCGCTTTAAACACCATAAGGTCGCTCTTCGCATACACTTTATTACCACTCAGCTACCGAAGGCTCAAGGAATATTCTTGAATATGATTCTTACCACTTTTGTAGTAGACCGTCCTTATTATAAGCAGGCCTTAGTGTTGGTCAGGGCAGGCAGTAGACAGCTGCGCCACAATATAGAACAACCAACAGTTTCATGTCTCTAGGTATAAGTAGAAAGGAATTGTCACCCTTCAAACCGCACTGATTTCCCGTCAAATAAAGCCTGTGAAAGTATTTACACATTTAATTATAACAAGATTAAATCAATTGATTGAGCCTCTATGCCTCCCAGCTCACAGAATGACCCCAAGGGGGAGGCGGAATCATCGTATCGACCAAAAGAGCAATCATCATCTAAACGTGAATTACAGACCCCCGATGGCGAAACAGAGTTATTATATCAAGAGCGTCGATTGAAAAGGCGGCAATCATTTAATCATGAGTTATCAGCCGAGAGACGAGCCGTCCTGGAGACAATCGAAGAGCAAGATCGAGCCTGGCAGGCGGAAAGAGACCGTTACAACAATCTAACACCGGACGAACGACTTAAAGAAGAAGGCGAGAAGTTACAGCGCCAGATTGAGTCTGATCCTGACACTCTCGTGTTGCTTGAGGCATCCGCCTCTCTACGAGCTCGATGCCGCGCCGAGGGAGACTGTGTCCATGTTCAGAACAATAATCGCTATAAGAACACAATCACGACTGACTACCGGATCTGTTTGGATGGCATCAAGACATCCCAGCATTGGGCCCGTACGAAATATTACTATCATGTAGCGTGTTTCGATCGCATGGTCAACCTGAAAAGTCTGATGCCAGCGAAGTTCAAACTCGATCCTAGAGAATTATGGGGCCTCATACCTAGGAAGTGGTTCGAACACCAGGGTTGCATCGACCTGAGCAAGGTTGCATCCTTTATTGATGCACATAAGAAATACGAAGAGGAGCACCATGAGTTCGGTTATCAATGGATAGAATGGTCTCTTCAACATAGAAAATGCGAGACTGATAAAGCAACATGTGGCTGTCCGTCGCAGCCCAAACCTCCTCAGAAGCCAGTTCTCGAAGACTACATTACCGAAAAGGAGGATTGTTGCAGTCTGGAGGACATAATGAGTCATCCTTACTTTGGGGATCTTATTGATGAAAAATGGTTATATGGGGAAAGCATTATAAAGCTCCACCCAGAGGATGCGGGAACTCCAGCAGTTGCTCAAGTACGGTAGGGATGAGGCCACAAATAACGATGAAAAGACATCCCAAGAAGAATAAACTCCGGATAGCCTTTAAGCGGTAGTCTTCTTGTGCCTTCGGACCTGTCGTCGTTCAAATTATCTCTCTGTTTAGTATACATACATAGAACTCTCGGGTTATCTTCCGTCTCTACCAGTCATACACTCACTTAAATTTTCTTTTATAGAGCAGCTTATACCTAAATGGCATCAATGCATCTGAATACTTATGAAAATGGGGCATCTTCTACTTGTGACTAGCCAAACCCTGCGTTACTAGGCGTAGCCAGAAGGTGAAGAAAGAGGAGGGTCAGTCTATACAACGCTCATACCGAAGAATCCGAAATTGCACGAGCAGCGAATATTGGCGAGTAGGGTGTATTACGAGTCGACTATTGAGCTTATCTTCATCCATGTGCATCCAAGCATCGATCTCTGGTGCTCGACCGAGCTTTATGGTATCGTTGAAAGCAAATTACCTATCCACATACTTTTACGCCGAATATTGCGGTTCCATTCATCACTACAAAACAGACTTCCGTCGACTCCAAGAGCGACCTAACATGCCTTCAAAAGTCTCAATGCGGTACCTCAAGAATCTCGTCTCTTCATTCTATCAATCTTATTCCCGACCAACGACTCCTAAGCCAACGCCCGTGAGAAAAGCAGCAAGTACCCACACCGACGCATACAGAGCGGCACCAGTCGACTCGATTCCATTAATACTCAAAAGGCAATTCAAATACGTATTGACCCCCGTAAGAGCCATCGCGACCGCCGTCCTCGTGATAGCGACCTTGGTCTGAGCCGTGTAGCCCCAAAGGTTCCAGTACAGCGTCTCCGCCAGCGTCGCGCTCGCCGGATCGAACTGTGCGACCTCATCGTCCTGCGCAGTGTGCCCCGTCGCCTCGTAGGGTGTGAAGATGAAGGTGCGCGCAGCCAGCCCAATTAGAAGCGCCAGGGACGCGGCCGGGGCGGAGTTGAGCACGGACGCGGAGGCGTACGCCGGCTCGATGCTGGGGATGCCGTCGAAGTAGAGAACCAGCGCCTTGGGTAGGTAGGTCTGGTAGGAGAAGAAGAGGACGACGCTGTAGATGGCGCCGGCGAGGAGCGTGGTGTACGCCTGGATGGACCGGTCCACAATAATCTCCCTGTTCGCGACGGTGGGCGAGCCGGCATGGGCTCCGGAAAGAGGCCGCAGGAGGAGGAACGGCAGGAAGCTTGAGAGAACATCGACTCCCAGACATGCTGCGGCTGTACCTGGTCGGATGCCGTAAAATGCAGTCATGAGAAAGAACTGCACCATATGTTAGGTCGACATGCCCAATGGGACTGGATACTTCAGGCTTACCGGAGGCCCATGAGATAAAACATTCAAAGCGGCCAGGTCATAGCTATCATATTTCCCAAACCAGCCCAAGGCGAGCTCGAGTCTACATGAGTTGTTAGAAGATACCAGGCAAAAGCACAAGAGCAGACTTCAAATTATCATTGGACACAAAGGGGTCATATGTGAACATACAATCTCCATGATGCTAGAAGAGCGACCTCCTGCGAAGACTGCAATGATCGCGCTATGGTTGCGAGCTCGCCCTTTGAGTACTCATTTAGGAATGAATAGCCTAGCGACGATATCGAGAAGCTGAGAATGGCGACCAGGGGGAATTGCAGGGGTAAGGGGAGCTTCGAAGTCCGCTGTTCCGATGTGCTTGCGGTAGCACCAGCAGCAGCTGGCGATCTCTCGACGTCATCCGCCTTGATGATCGTCTTCTCGTCAAGAGCGGTGGAGCTTACTGCTGGAGCTTCCTCGACAGGCTCGGGTGCGCGTGCAGAGGGGACCTGTTTCGTTCGTGCCATCGCACTTGTCTAGCAAAAGAGGACACAGGAAGACTATTCGGGTTTCTGTTAGAGACAATGACAAGAAGAACCAGCGCGAATGATGGCGCAACTTCTGTTGTTGAACTGACAAACGTGTCGCGAACGGTAAGGGAGCTGTAAGCGCGTGCGAGGCTGACGGCGGGCAGATGGCGGGGAGCTTCTTCATAAAGCAGTGGAGATTGTGACGTCTTCTGTACAGCGGTCTCTGTGACAACCTTAAGCCTTTGCCTTTTACAGGAGCCTAACCCCACGTTTGGTGCTCCCGGTGCCCCCAAGCGAAACGATCTCCAGCCACCAACCAGATCTCGGGTCCTTGACCCGGAGAAAAAGAAAGAATGATCTGAAGAGACAAGACCAACGTTGCGGCTGGGGGGTTGAGGACTTAAGACCTGGTTCCCTCCCTTGGCCGATCGCTGTCAATCAACTCATCTCTCTTCAAAACTCCCTCTTTCAACTTCTACGTGACATTATCAAGTAGTGCTTGAACTGTCCTTTTGCACCTCTCGAGATTTGCGGTCGAGAGTTTGACTATCTCTCGCCTAGTAACCCAAGCGTGAAAACACCCTCCTCCCAAACGAGTTTTTGAGTCGAGCCACGCAAGAGAGCACCTACTTAGGAAACGCTCCGCCCGTCTCTTCGAGCAGTATCATCTCCCGTCTTTCGTCAAACAGATGGATTCATCAAAATAAATGGGCACAGCAACGTTTGTACATCTCGTTTCAATTTCCTTGGCTTCATATAGCACAAGTGAGTGCATGTTCGTTTGTGTTAGGCACATATTTGCCTACTGAAAGCCCCTCCATCCATCGCTATTTATTTATTCGTGGGCGTTCGCTCTACGCTCACGGCCAACCCTTACTTTAACCTCGTGAAGTTTTCTGCCCCATGGTGCGCTTGCTATATGGAGCTCTCCACTCTTCGGTGCTAAGGAGTCAGGGGCGGAGCGAACCACCTCGTTTACAGGGTTGATATAGGTAATACAAAAGAAACCGCCTTCCTTCAAGGTCCGATAACATCAGGTCATATAAGATTCGTTGCACATAAGACGTCCGGGAATGACGAAACGCTGGAGAATCTTCTACTCCTCCATGCGTCCGAACACTCCATCGTCGTCCTCGTCGCTTCGAGCGCGGGATCGCAGATCGTCATCGTCGTCATCCATGACGCTGTCGCCGCTATCTTCCATCTTGATGTCATCCCGGAGGCGTTCGCCACGGGTGAAGCTCTCTGGAGCACGGCTGGGGTAGCTATTGATAAAGCTCGTGCCGCTCAGAGCGGCCTGGTCAAGATATTGAGCAGGCAGTGGTGGAACGGGCGGTGCGTCGGAAGGCAGGTGGACAGTCCGAGAGCCGCTGTTGCTACCGAAACTGCAGCTCAGCAGTTCAACTGCTGCGGCCAATTCACGATCGTCCTGACCAGTGGTGTTCATGCCCGAGGATGGGGGCCGCTGATCCTGGCTATGCTGGCGGTAATGGCCAAATGATGAGGCGTTCGGCATGCTTCCAGCAAAAGGGTTGTTGAACGGGGCTGACTGATATGAACGAGAGAAGCCACTGCCGCTGCTGTACCTCTTGTTCAATGTCCGGTACGACAAGTTCGTCGTGCGCATGGCATCAGATTGAGGTGGTGGGGTGGTATCGGCGGAGCTGTGGCCGTCTGCCATGTCAGATGAGCCGCCGGAAGCTGCAGGCGACGCAGAGTCTTGGTCACTGGCAAAGTCCTTGGCCGAGTCCGGTGGAGTGGCAGCGGCGTCGGGGTTGTTGTTCATGGCAACCAGAACAGACGCAGCCTCCAGCAACTGAACCTGTTGGTGCTTCGAAATGAGGAGCTTGGAGGTATACGACCATTCGGGAGTGTGCTCCCACCTGACAAACAAGAAAGAGTCAACAACAAGATCCAGCAATTTCAACGCAGCGCTTTTCTGCACGACGAGTTTCTCTTAAACCACACTGGCAAGAACCGCGGTCAATAAGAAGGGGGAGAAAAGGGGCACAAACAAATGCTTGGTCAAGCAGCTGCTATGCTTGTATCCCTTCCCGCAAGTGTCGCAACGGAGTTCAACACGGCTGCTCTTCCGGCCGTCCTTCACAAGAGGCTGCCCGTCACTGGCCCTCCGTACCCGAGCCTTTTGGAAAGACGCATCTCCCTCATCGCCAGACATGTCGTTCAGCTCGTCGTCAATTGCACTATCAATGACGTCGGACTTGCCGTCGGGCGAGACGAATTTGTGGCTCGGCAGGCTGGCAGGCGGGGAAGGAAGACTGCCGACGATCGAGGACCGCGAAATGCCGCTCCTCGACATTGTGTTGCGACGAGCACCGACGGCGATGGGAAGAGGCGTGGCACGGTCTCCAGCCTCATTGAAGGCAGCTGCCACGGCGGCAACATTGGTGGCGGTGTTGGTCATGCTCTTGCGGCGAGAGACCCGGTGGTTCGCGTTGAGTGAGCCGACGACGACGGAGTGGGAATTGGTACGCGAGTGCGGCTGTCGTGACGCGAGTCCCCCGGAGGAAAGGGTGCTGGAGATTGAGGGACGGTGTGTCAATGGCCTCGAGGCTGTCTGCATTTCCTGCGAGAGACGAGGTGATCAGCACTCGTGGGTTTGGGTAACGGGAGCGGAGCTAGCAGGCATTGATAGTAGTGATCTACCTTGGACGAGGCCATTGTCAGTATCGTGCGAGATCAATTCCCGGAAGATCTCGCAGAGTAATAGAATCTCTCCTGAAGAGAGATGTGCAACGTAAGGAGCAAAGCGAGGTGAATTGATCGCAGTTGGGGCACGTAGCGTGGTGTTGTGGTGTTGTGGTGTCGTGGTGGCCGTGGAAATTTGTTGAAGATCGCGGGCGGCAGCAGATCGAAGTAGAGCGAAGAGGACAGCGGTTGGGAAAATAAAATAATAATATGGGAAATTCTGGGTGTAGCAAGGGTAAGTAAGGTAGTGAGGAGGTGCGGCCTGCTACAAGCCTATGAGCCAGTGAGTGCGTGAATGAGTAAAGTGAGCAAGCAAAGCAGGAGAGGGCGGTACCGTACGCCAACTATGTACAGTACAGTATGATACAGTGCAGTCAGTAGTCAGTCTGGTATGCGCTGGAAGGCAGGTAGGGGTGGTATTGAGGGGGGGTGTGGATGGATGTTGTGTGTGTGTGTGTGTGTGTGTGACTGCGACTGCTGCGTCTCCTCAGCTCAGCAATAAGTCAAATTATTGGGAAGCTTCCCTCTGCTTCCAGGAAATGCATACGCGCGGGAGGACAAAGAAAGGCCAGCCAGGCCGGACCAGGCCAGATTAAGCCAAGCAGGGCAAGGTTGGCTGTTCTTGATTTAGCGATAAAGCAAGCCTGCAATGAGCAGCAACCCGAAGAATGCCCTGTCCGAAAAAGATTTGTGGGCTTGAAACAGGCAGTGTCTTGAAGAGCCGGGCAGACGGCGCCAGTTACTTTCCCGCACCTGGCACACTCGGGGTTGATAACAAGCTGAATACAAGAAGATACCCGGACAGGCCTGAGACCAGGAGAAGGGGACAGCCGACACCGCAATTGTTCTTCTCTCGCGTCTCCAATCCCAAAGAAGATCGAAGTTCACTCGTAATGACCTCGAGCAAGGAGAAGATCTCGGATTTCCAATCGTAGGACTTTAGGATCAACTATCAGGGTGAGAAGGCGTGATTCGGGTACGATGCCACTGCCTCCTCTCAGGCGATTACAGTGCCTCCTTCCTCGTAGGTAGCTAGCTACCTTGCCTATTCTAAGAAAGTACCTAGCCTAAGAAAGTGCGAGGAAGCCGCCACCCACGATCTGGCTGGCGTGTTGGCACTAAACCTGGAAAGGGTACAGTACCTGAGCGAATCCAGGCAGGTACGAGGTAGCTTCCGCGTACCTTATCATCGCTCCGATGCGGATCGGCGACCTGGCAGGAACAAGCGACAAACTGCACGCCTTCCACAGTCAACCTCCACTAGCGCCTGAGAGAGGGCACACATGACTCCTCCATTGGCTACCTCCTGCCTGGGCAGGTGAGCATCCGAACTAAGGCGATAGTTGGGTCAGTTGGTGAATTAGTCAGTCAGTCGGACCACGTAACGGGGTCCAACAAGTGGGAAAGGCAGGATCGTATCTCAGAGGAAGCCCAAGAAAGGTCGGTCCGGCGAGTGCTGGAGTTGGAGCTGGAGGAGACAGTATGGACTGGAGTCGCTGGACTGCAGGAGAGCTGGCATTGCTACTACTTCCCCATGTCCCCTCTTGCCTGCTCCCCTGGGCTGTGGTGTCGACCTAGCAGCCGCCCGGAGGGCAAATGGCGTGCAGGCTATGGAGATACTACTGCACCTCATATGCAGGATTTGGCTGGGGGGCCGCCGAGGAGAGGAGGGGTGTCGTGGGCCGTTGGTGGTGTCCGGCTAACAAATGCCCTGCCCTTGCCCTGGTGGGGAGGGGAGGAGGTGGGAACAAGGAAGAGGTCCTCGTGCTTGCCTAATCCCACTGTAGACTAACCGCAATATCATGGGCAAGTGTACGGTTCGTTCCTTCTCAATGGACTGTGTGAGACTGCTCTCCGTACAGTAATCGCAAGCACTGACAACCAAGGCAGGCATGATCAATGCTCAGTCGACTGATGGTAGGCTTGATCGAGGCATTGGAACCTTAGAAGCTTGGGGTTGTTCCTCCTGTTCTTTGATTGAACACCTAGAGCACGTCGAAATGACCAAAAGGCGTGGAATTGTGACTGTCGAGTCATTCAGAGCAGCCGAGCATGTCTTATTCCATGTCTCCTGCCTCCTGTCACGCTCGATGCCCATGTGGCACTCCAGCCGTTACCTAATCTGGCCGCTACTGGCCTTACACTTCACATCTCGTCTGCCCCGTGACCAAGAATGCATGCCTCGCGACAAAGAAGAGGTTCAGGAAGCGCAATCCTAAGAAGGGACTCGATCATCTAGACCTAACCGCACTTGGTCTAAGACGCCCAATTACCCATAGGTAGGTAGTATAACTAGGTACTGCCTGGTCCCCTTATCAATGTCACTGTTGCTAGCTGATAGAATTCCACCATATCAACAAACTACTCCTGTGGCCATATTCTACCTCACCTCTCTTCATTCAGCCGGTATATAACCCGATACTCCTTCAGTGCTTGCTGTATGAATATCAGAAGAGCCGTGTGTGTGTGAACGAGCTCCCTTGCTCGGACTCCACAGCCCCCACAGTCGCGCCTGTTTCTCGTCGCCAGATTCGACAAATGAACAGCTCCCCTGCATTACCCCTCTATTGCAGTTCGACGAGACAGAACCGAGAGGAGAGGACTCAAAGGAGGGGCTTCAAGTGTTGCATGGGGATTGCTTAGCATGTTATCGAACTACGCTCACAGCTTCTACACCTCCGCCAGGGTAATAAACGTTATTTTAGCGAGTTGAATATACTTGAAAACCAGGATTGAGAATACCTGATTGAGGCTTCGAA